ACGCCTTCTTTCTTTGCGTGAACATTTGGGCGTTGTTATGCAAATCTTCCCACATCGTGACGTAGCTATGTGGGGGCGTGTTCGAACGAGCCGTTTTAGGTAGGTGTGGCTGACTCAACTTTTAAAAAGAATATCTCTTTGGATTTGAGACTTTAGTCTTTGCAACTTTACAGATCTTCTTTATGCACCCAGAGCTTGTAACACTCCAAAGAGAAAGGAAAAATTGAAATCGCATCATATGACCCCTTTAAAGATTTCTATTTCAAACAAATACTGTTGTTTGTGAACTTTCTATTCATCAAAAAATACTGGGGATAAAATTATCAAGGTTTCCACAAAAATTCAGATTTGCCATCATAGAAATAAATTACACTTCACAATATATTAGAATAAAAAAAATATTTTAAATTGTAATAACATTTCAAAATATTACTATTTTTACTGTATTGACTGATGCAGGCTTGGTGAGCACAAGAGACTTCTTGCACACAAAAAAAAAAAAAACACTTTAAAACGGTTGTCTAAAAATGAATTATTTTACAGTCATCAAACACCTTTAATAAGACAACAAGATTCAAATTTCAATTCTTTTCTCTAAATTCACTAAGGCTAAGTTGTGTCTTTGGTGTTACTGGGTTACCAGTGTTTTATGTTACTACTCATGATGTGGCGTTTGTGGAGGCTGGGTTAAAATCCTGAATAAAACAGAAAAGACTGTTCTTGTGTAAAAACTTACCCCAGCTCCAGAGTTTGCCCTCTGTGGTGATGATGAGACTGTGGGCAGCACAGGGTCCAGACACCACACAGCTAACCTGGACATCATTGAGACATCCATAGCGATGGGGGCCCCACAGATTCTGCCCAAGGTTCCTGTAAGCAGCTGTAAAAACACACACAGACACACATGAAAAGTTTATCAAAGTTGAAGATTCTATAAATGACTGCAACCCACACACTTCCTCTTTCTTATTTTAAGTGTGAAGTTGATTTTTGCACCTGGCCGATTTGTCTCATGTTTTCTGCATGAGATGCTGGTGGTGTCTCAAAATTTCCCTACTCTGAAGTTCAAAATATGATTGTTATCAGTTATTGCAACTTAAATCGTATTTAACTCACATAGAAGTTTAAATTCACTGCAGTACATTCAGTCAGCGTGTACTTAAAATTGTTTTTTTTTTATTAATGTTTTTGTTCATCAATGTTTCTACATCAAATAAATGCTGTTCTTTTGAACATTCTATTGATCAAGGAATCCTGAAAAAATAAATACAAAAATATTAGCAGCACAATGTTTTTTTAAATTAGATAATATTAAGAAATGTTTCTTGAGCACCAAATCAGCATTTTAGAATTATTTCTGAAGGACCATGCGAGTCTGTAATAACAGAAATAAATCATATTTGAAAACATATTAAAATAGAAAACAGTAAGCAAATAATATTTCACAATATTACTGTTTTTACTGTACTGTTGATCAAATAATTGCAGCCTTGGTCAGCTTAAGAGAGCGTACCGACCCCAAATGTTTTTTGACAGTAGTGTATATAAGTTCACATAAAAAATTTGTTTCTATATTTTGGTGAGATCATATATTATCTAGCTGATATATTTATTTTCACTTTGTTTTGATATTTGCTTTCATAAAACAGCACTGTCAGGTCTGTCTTGCCCAAGCCAGCAGCCACCACTTAATCTTAAACTGCCAGGTGCTCTTCACAGATGGTCGGTCCAAGATCAGAAACAGTGCTTAACTACATCTTCAAGAGAAATCCAAAGTGCAAACTCAAGTACGAATTAAATTCTGGTCTCACAATGTCCCATTAACAGATTATCACAGGTGACTCACTCGGGCGAGAGTACTCTCCTAACGCCTCTAAAACTATAGTGTAACCCAGATTTCTCTGGCTCACGCGTGACCATACCTTGCTGTTTTGGCACTTCTTTTCTGCCAATCAGGTCCCAGTTGGTGGCTCCAAAAATGAGCAACTGACCTTTGACTTTGGGAACCTCGAGATTCTGCACAACAGAAAAAGCAAGAAATCCATCAACAATCCATTAATAGTTTTCAAACTAAGCTCCAGAGACCCCTAGGGGGTACTTGGGTGTCCATGTAAAAATAAATAAATAGAAAAATAAAAACGACATTTTCATAGCTATCAAAATCAAAGTGTTAGCTTAATAATATCTTTGTAATATCATGCTTACTATTTTTCAAAAAGGGGAAATAAGTCTCCATACATATTAAATATACAGCCGCTTTTATATTTTCAGGGGATCCCTCACAAGTCATATTTTTAGGTCCTTGCCATCAAAAAGTTTGAATACCCCTGCACTTATTACATGCTGGTGTATAAATATATATAATTTGTGTGTGCATGTGTCTGTATATAGAGTATACAGATACAAAGAAGCAATAAAAGCCAAAATATGTCCTTACAATCTTCTCTTTCACATCATCAGCCACAGTGACCGGCTGCAGACCGGCTTTAGCTGCTGGTTTCCCAGATTTCTTTGTGTTTTCCTGTTCAAAGTCATCAAACTCGTCGTCACTGCTAAACTCCCTGTCCTTTTTCTTTCCACCTCCTCTTTTTCTCTTCAGTCCACCGTTCCCAGACACATCTGTCACCTTCTTGCGTGGCATAGTACAAAATCCTACAATAAAAACAAAAAATGTAGTAAGCGAACAGTTTACTGTTCTGCCTATAATTTGACAGAATGAAGAATCAAACGAGCCGAAACATGCGATGCGAATGAAGGAAAAGTCAATGTGATTCAAAACCCTTGCTGGTTCTAATTCCCAATTATCTCACAGCAAAAGAATCCTTAAGAAAACACGCACAGGCTCTGCGTATTAGTAATGCCAATGTGTTATTTCTTCCTATATCTAAATATTTAAACATAAAGGGTTATGAAAGCGGAGGTCTCGTGCTATGCTAACACACTAGCAGCGCTGTAACAAAAGAATCAGTAGCAACGCGTCTGTCTCACTCAGTCTCCATTTGTTTCTTTGTTATGTTTTTATAACGCAGCCAACCGGTCAGCCAACTAGCACCGCTCTGCTTTAACCAGACTAGTAACTAAACTATTCACTTACCCACGTGTTCTATCTACCCAGTCCAGTAAAAATAGTCCAAACCATCAACTTATGCCCCAGGAAAGTGCATTTGAAAGACATAACGTTTACAGATGTGTATGATGCAGACTTAGCCGTGTTAGCATGCTACACTGCATTTACATCCGAAGCCGCAATCATAAACATCGAGGAGAATATCATTACTTACCTGAGTAAAACTTTCCCCTGTCTACTTTAAATGCAAATATCTATATTAACGGATTATTGACACGTTGAGTTAAGTGGCTGCGGCTTGGTCTGTTGTGCTGGAAGATGCGATAATTATGTAAATAGATTTCCTGATTCAGATGCTCTACTTATGTCTGTCCGTCTTCCTCGTTTTTTGTTGTTGATTGATTCGGAACAAAAGACTCGCAGCCTCGCGATCAAACCACGTGGGTGCAGCGCTCACTCAGGACTGGATATCGCACACATCTGGCTGCAGAGCTCGCCGAGTTTGTAGTATAAAATCTCGAAAGAAATGCACATTAAACGTAATTTTAAAGTCATTCATGTAGAGGTGCACAGAAAAGTTTCTCTCACTTAAAGAATGTAAGTGTACCTGTGTTACTTGGAACGAAAGCGTTGAGCTCGAGGTCTTTTTTTTCTTCGTTTTTTTACTATGTTAATTTAGGTTCAGAGGTACAATTAAAACACTCTTGTAACTTTCATGGCAGTGAGCGTGTAGTCCACAAAACAAAACCACGAGAGCGAACTACAAATTTGACTAGACTATGTAGTGCCCTCTGCTGAGTTGGAGGACGTATTATACTTCAGATTGAAACAAATGTATCCACCATGGATCGTATTGTTTTTTATGGCCAGAAAATAATACGCATCTATCCCTACTTCCGACTACAGCTTCTGTTATTCTTACATTGCTTGCATTCTTGCAAAGCTGTATCAGTTTAAATGAAAGGGTAAAGGGAATTCTGTAGATGGAGTGTGCATGGTAAGTGTGATCATTTATTGTGGCCCAGATAAACACATCCCATATAAAAAAAAAATGGTTGTGCACCTGTAATAGAAAGTAATGTTTAATATAAAACTGTTGCATGTTAATGAGATGAAAATCAGTATAAGGCATTGACTGTTCCTGATTGAGATACATGTGCACATTAAATGTGGATAAAAGGAAATTTAATTCCATCTGTAATTCTATCAAGTATGTGTACTTGTTTAAAAGCGAACTGTTGGTTTTTATTTTAGCAGTAGATAGCCTATTATTGTTACTCTTTTGAACCATGTTGCATGTTAGGAAACACAGTATGGTGCATTTGAACATGGTTTACATGTGAGGGGGTTAGCTGGTTAGACCAAAGGGCATTTAAATTGAGGTCTTCAAGGCAAAAACAATTTTTTATTCTAATAGTCAGAGACAGTGTTCATATAAAGCTAAAATATAACTGAACAACAACACTGAATGAGGGGGGAAATATAAATAAAATGTGAGATATTAAGCAATATTCAGTGTTTTGCAAGTAATATAATTTTAATGAACTTTATATTTCCCCTTAATATTACACAGCATTATGTTTTCTGTACATGAGAAGGGGAAAAAACCTTTACATTGAATTAAATATGCTTTAATTTAGCTTGTTGGCACAGTAGGAAAATGCATTTTTTCTTAATTTCTCAATTTATTTCAATTAACTTCTTGTTTTTAACATGAGTATTGTCTATCTAGCATATTAATGCCTCCTTTTTTCCTTCTATCAATGCTGTGTCTCCCCCAGCAGCAGCATGGAACTATTGAAAGAAAAGTTGCTGTTCTGTGATTGGTGGGATTGCAGGCCTGATGATCTGCCATTGGCTGGTTGTTTCTTTGAACATTTGCATACTGCAGGGAGGCTCTATCGTGATGTACGGCAGGGGGAAGGAGTGAGTGAAAAGAAAGGAAAAAGGGAGGGACTGAGGGAAAAGAATAGAGGGAGAAGAGTTTTCATATTCGTGGGAGAAGCTGTGTCAGTTAATGGACTGGGAGTCTCAGAACTTGTTCCTTGACTAAAAGAAACATTTGAAATCAGCTCTTCACAATTGCTGTGCTTTCTGGGGAAGATACAGTGGTGTCATCAATTGTAGATTCACAGATGGCTGCACTGCGCAAAGATGGGAGCAGAAATGACAATGGATTTATATTGATAGTTTGTGATCAATAAGGACAATATCAGAGGGGTGACATTTAAGGGACGTAAAGCCAGGCCTGTGAGTAAGTCTTTCTTTGGAAAAAAAAAAAAGCTAAAATTCTAGTGCTTATATTGTTTTACATATGGAAATCTGACAGTGCAACATAACATCACTGAGGGGGAAGTGAGTGATGAAGCTGTAGATAAAAATAAAAAATCAGATGAAAAAAATGATTGTGTGTGTAATAATCTGACCATGTTATGCCATCTGATTTATTTACTGAGATTATTGCTTCATAAGAAAGAACATACTGTAAATTCACTTAGAGGGAAATTGTTTTGTTCTTTTGTGATATGAAGACTCTATGCTAATTATTTGATACTAATATGATTGATATGAATATACATTTGGCCTCTTATTAAACAAAAACAAAATTTTTGGCATTTTTTGTTGTCATGATAGACAAACAGATGGACATAAATAGACTATTGCCTGGTTGACAATAACAATCAAACAATGCTGTATTTCATCTTTTACTATGGTATATGTGTGACATTTAAAAGGTAATCTGACATGTAGCCTATATATCAGTTCAGTGCTAAAGCTAATCTGAGAGCAGATTCATGGTCTGTCCTTCAGCCTTACCTCCCAGTGGTTTAATATGAACTGACTCACGTGGGATGACCATTTTGAATCAAACCATTCCTGTTGGTATTTTTTTTACCTCAAGGCTGCAGTGTTTTATCAGAAAAGCTAGTCTTCCTTTACATTATCAGATCCGCTGTCTAATGCATTGATTAATCGTAAATTTACATAGCAACTCCAGGAAGCGGTGAAGGACATCATTGTAAAAACTGTATGCGAAAAGAGCGGCCATGGAAAGTTAATATGTGTGGAGGTCCAGATGCCTCTCTCTATTTGTGCCTGTGTCCAAGGTGATGCCTGTGTTATTTATTTGAAAGGAGTTGGTGGGCCATTCATTGGGCCTGCAGCTCTTACCATGTGCTTTAGTCTCAACCATTCAACCTTGCTGTGTCTGTCAAAGTGGGAAATATGCTATTTGCCTTTGTCTATTCACTGGCTTCAACCAGGTCTTGACACTGCCCTTCCTTCTAGTGAATAATTCAAGCACATTGACCCGCAGCTCTGGGTTATCAAGAAACAAGATGGACAGAAATGCTTGTGAAGATTGGCAGTCACTTTTATCCAAAGCAAATTGTAGTGCATTCAAAGTCAGTATTCGTTTCCTAATCAAAATAATGACCTTGGCATTATTACTGCCACACTTTATGGGAGGGAAGAGATCTGAAGTGGTTAACAAATTGCCGTCTAATTTTATTATAAATACTGGTACTGACTGATGTAACTAAACCACTCCTGAAGTTTCTTCATCAGCACATTTCACTGTATCGCCCTCTGGTCATTCCTCTCGGTTGAGTTGTGTTGTTCTTCTGACACAGGCTGAGAGTCTTTCCCAGTAAATGTAGGAGGAGATATTGTGCAAGGATTCAGCTGGTAAGGCAAGCCTGGATCTGCCACACACTGTTGAGGAATTTAACATTTTCAGCCAGTCTCCTTTAGTAACCTGTGATGTCCACGAAAAACATAAGAAAAACTTTAATTACAGCAAAAGTCATATTTCACTGATATCCAGAGGTGTGGTGTTAGTTACGCTACAGTTTAAAGACATGTTTCACTAGAACATCCTGTGTGTTTAGGGACATTGAATTGAACATTTTAGAGTGTGTGTGTGTTGACACAAAGCTTTTCTCTTTTACAGGAGTGCATATATGACTGTATATTAACGTCATGGCATCTCCACAGTCTCTTAACCCTCCTGAAAAAGGTTAGTACATGGAGCATGCTGCTTATTGTTTTCTGGATATATTAGATCTTTAAAATGTAATTAACATCAATTGATTAATTAAAAGAGAGGACCCATGCAGACCAAGTTATTTTAATATTATTTATATACTATTGTTGCATTTATTTATATTTTGAATTAGTTTATTTTATATTTTTAGGTTTCATTTTAATTTTAGTTTGTTTTAGTAATGTATCATTTTTAGTTTTTGAAATTGTATCGCTTTAACTTTAGTATTTTTAGTGCTTTTATTTTATTTTATTTTATTCAATTATCAAAAACATTTTATTAGTTTTAGTTAACAGCTCTGCTGCAGGAACTTATGACTTTGTGCTACTGTCAATAAGTCTCTTAAAATATGAACTTATTTGACCTTTTTATAATAAGGTAAGGTTAGTTCAGGTTGTAAAATGTCATAGGGTGCGAATCCCCCAAAAAGTAAAAAAAATAAAATAAAGGTATTTATGAATTAATCATTTATAATATTTTTAAAAATACTTTTTACCATTTGTTTCATTTGAACATTATAATTGAGATGTGTACACTAACATTTATTCAAGGTGTAAGGAAAATTACATTATTACATGTAAATTTAAACACTTTAAGCACTTAAAGGAACACTCCACTATTTTTGAAAATAGGCTCATTTTCCAACTCCCCTAAGTTAAACAGTTGAGTTTTACCGTTTTCCAATCCATTCAGCCGATCTCCGGGTCTAGCGGTAGCACTTTTAGCTGTAGCTTAACATAGATCATTGCATCTGATTAGACCGTTAGCATCTTGCTCAAAAATGACCAAAGAGTTTCTATAGTTTTCCTATTTAAAACTTGAATATATTTAGCCATATTTAATATGGCTAGGAACTATCCCATGGTACGGCAGCAAAGTTCCTTGATTATTACGCCGGAATGACAGTATAGTTCCTAGCCATATCGGCCGAGAAAATCGCAACTTTTCATTTTTCTGTCGGTCTTAGTACACAATGTAACTACAGAAGAGTCAAGTTTTAAATAGGAAAAATATAGAAACTCTTTGGTAATTTTTGAGCGAGATGCTAACGGTCTAATCAGATTCAATGATCTATGCTAAGCTACAGCTAAAAGTGCTACCGCCAGACCCGGAGATCGGCTGAATGGATTCGAAAACGGTAAAACTCAACTGTTTAACTCTAGGGGAGTTGGAAAATTTGCCTATTTTCAAAAATAGTGGAGTGTTCCTTTAATCATTACACCAAATTACATTTTTTATTAAACTTTTTTAAAACTTTTGTTAAAATGGTATACAAGTTTTTCAAAACCATATGAAATCAACATAAATACATTAGGGTACATTAGGAACTTGACACCTGCGTTTTAATCTAGATTTGTAGCAGATTTTCTGTATTGTGGACACTCTTATACGTCATTAACCCACATACTACAGGGTTCCTACGGGGTTTGGAAAAGTATGGAATTTGATTTAAGCCGCACGAGAAACCATTACATTTAGCATATAGGACAATGCATATTGAGCCACCTATTGTGCCATCAGCCCATTTTGCGGTGTGTTTTTTTGGCCTCCACAGAATATGCGTTAAAGAGACCTAAGGCCTTGAAATATGACATACTGCCCTAAGCCACATTGTGTGCTATGTTACTGACTTTACTGACAAACTATGCTGACACACCATGTCTACACTGGACGCGACAAAGCGACTGTTGAAAATCATTTGTACTTTGTGTCAGTACGTCATAAATAGAACGATGCATCAGTTTACTGTCGGGATTTGTCGTGTCGCTTCGTGCCGCATCCAGTGTAGACAGCATCACTGATTATAATGGGTTCTATTGTATTTTGTCGCACTGTGCCATTCGCGTCCGGTGTAGACACCCAGTTAGGAAATGTGATGTGACCGATGTGATAAGCATGAGTTCTGGGCCACGGCGTGGCCGGTATAAACACAAGCATTGACTGAGTGGCCGCGATCAGCTCCGGGGGCCGTGGAGCCATATGAGCCGCAGAAGCGTGCCGTGATGCGCAGATCAGCTCTAACGCCACTGAATCTGCTGTTAAAAATGAGCCATCCATTCATCATATCATCATGCAAAACTAAGAATTAGAATCATTGTAATGTGATGATTAAATATAGGTGCGGTGGGTGGCGGGCGGATAATTTATTTGAAGTTGCGGACTCGGGTGAAGTTTGAGCTCATCCACTCATCTCTACACTGACCTGAGTCACCAGTAGCAAACAATGGAGCATGCTCTGCTGGACAAACTAAGTAATTACACCATTTAGAAGCATTTCATCTGCGTTATATGTTCTGTAAAAAAACAATTTTCATGTCGGTGGCATATTTGCCGATACCGATATATCTGTGACAGGCTCATATCAGCTGATAATATCGGCAAAACAATATATATCGGTCGGGCTCTACAAAAATCTACTGAGAGGTTTGGAAATTTGAGTCTGGAAAAGTATGGAATTTTGAAATGGAAAATATGTAGGAACCCTGTTTTTATTCAAATTTTAATTCAACTTCCTTTGGGATGTGGCCAATTGAATTATTTTTTCACAAATTCTGTGTTGTGTATTTTCTGGTAATCAAATGGACATGCAGAACATGAGGATTTGTATTTAAAATAGTCTTTTTCAGTTTAATATTCACAGACACTGGTCTATATCGCGATTTGATTTAAGTGTACTGATTCCGCAATTCCGTCTGCATTTTCCACATCGCGGAAATCACAAGGCCCTACTAATAGCAAATGAGTATGATAAGCTCATTGTGAGAGTAAAAGACGAGGACATTGTTTATTTACTTTATAGCATTGAGTCTCACCAACTAGGTGACAACGTAGTGTTAAATCACCATTCAATAGAATCAAGCCACCACCGCACTGCCGTCTATTGGACTGCAGAAAGATACTAAAAGTGGCAGCTGTTTAGTGATTCTTTAGTGATTGTCAAACACGACTGGTGCACTTGGTGCAAGGTGCACTTTTTCATTTTGCATTTTGGGTTTCTTCTCACGATATTCTTAGCACCATATTACATAGCCTCAAGGACCTTTGAAAAAATAAAAAATATACAGACTTTTATGTGCGCACGAGAAACCATTACACAGCATATAGAACAATGCATACTGAGCCACCTATTTTGTCATCAGCCCATTTCGCGGTGTGGTTTTTTTGGCCGCTACAGAATATGCGTTAAAGAGACCTAAGGCCTTGAAATATGACATACTGCCCTAAGCCACATTGTGTGCTATGTTACTGACTTTACTGACAAACTATGCTGACACACCATGTCTACACTGGACGCGACAAAGCGACTGTTGAAAATCATTTGTACTTTGTGTCAGTACGTCATAAATAGAACGATGCATCGGTTTACTGTCGGGATTTGTCGTGTCACTTCGTGCCGCATCCAGTGTAGACAGCATCACTGATTATAATGGGTTCTATTGTATTTTGTCGCACCGTGCCATTCGCGTCCGGTGTAGACACCCAGTTAGGAAATGTGATGTGACCGATGTGATAAGCATGAGTTCTGGGCCACGGCGTGGCCGATATAAACACAAGCATTGACTGAGTGGCCGCGATCAGCTCCGGGGGCCGTGGAGCCGTATGAGCCACAGAAGCGTGCCGTGATGCGCAGATCAGCTCTAACGCCACTGAATCTGCTGTTAAAAATGAGCCATCCATTCATCATATCATCATGCAAAACTCACCAGTAAGTCACCAGTAGCAAACAATGGAGCAAGCTCTGCTGGACAAACTAAGTAATTACACCATTTCGAAGCAGTTCATCTGCGTTATATGTTCTGTAAAAAAAAAAGTTCATATCGGTGGCATATTCGCCGATACCGATATATCTGTGACAGGCTCATATCGGCCGATAATATCGGCAAAACAATATATATCGGTCGGGCTCTACAAAAATCTACTGAGAGGTTTGGAAATTTGAGTCTGGAAAAGTATGGAATTTTGAAGTGGAAAATGTGTAGGAACCCTGATACTATGATTCAAATTCAAATCTTTCGAGACCAGTGGGGCTTAGTCATGATTTGCTAGTCCTGCCAAGATGTTTGAGGAGGTGCGTCATGTGACATCACTGTTCACTGCACTCTGGTATAAGCAAGGCCCAAACAAAGGGTAGCTGTGCATGACACATTAGGGTGCGCGCTTTTCAAAAAAAGAGAAACCATAATGACAGCGTATGAGCTGTTAATGACCCATGCACTTCACCTGTTCTGGTATATTACAGAACAGTACAGTGTGTAAAACTCTGAAACAGTTACCCAGTTGAGGGAATACAGCATTACCCTCTTAATCTCCAGAGAGCTTGTGAAACTGCTTGAGGGCTCGGCAGTGCTCAAGGTAACTGACCATATGCTGCAGCTGAGCAATTCTTCCACCATATGCCACCTGCTCTTGACACACAACTATTCTGCAGCCATGGAGACTGCTTGCATGAGACAATCGCTTAAATTTCTAGTTTCACCCAAAATCCACCTGGCCGGGTCTAAGAGGTTCTCGTACTTTTGCTGGAGTGAGGGGGATGAAGACGAGCCACGGTAAATGTTGTTTTGTTGGTTTAGTGATTGTTGAAGGGAATAGAGCGCCTGAGCACTGCATGATTACTGACCTTTAGAGCCATTTTCAAGTCATCTGAGCTTATATTGACTTGAGTAACTGATTTGTGTTATTTTATAAGGTAAATGTGCACCATGGAAAAATTGGAGGGAACTTAAATCATAGAAATTTCAAACATAGAAATGTGAGCATAGAAATTTCTCCTTTGTTGCTGATTTTCTCAACCCACTTTCTAAGAGCAAGTGAAAACATTTTGAAGTATGAAGTACTTTCAGTTGAGTATTCTCTATAGAGACCATATGGTCACGTGTAATCCTGCTCATCACATGATCTGTTTTTCTCCGTCCAGTGCAGAAGAGTCTGTAATCTCTATTTCTGTGCTTTGGCTTCTTTGCAAAATGTAACGTTCCAACAGCTGTTTAGAAATTGCCAAAAAGTGATGTCATGTTTTGCTGTTTAACTTGACTCTGTAGTTTACAACAAAGGTTATATGCTGTCATTACTCTATTACTTTTGGATTCAGTTAACAACTCACTCACACTCCTACTTTTGGTGCATCTAACAGATTGTTTTCGTCTGTATTATTTTGTCCATCTGTTCAATGTTTGTGGTATGTGTTATGAGAGGGAGGGCGTTTTGGCTTTTAGCTTGTGAGTTTTGGGTGTTTTTCCGAACAAATCTGATGACTCACAAAGGGTTTTGTCTCCAATGGTATGGTCAAAACATATTTTTGAGCCTCTTCTTTGTAGCTGCTTAGATATAGAATGTGCACTGAATCATAAAGACCTAATGTTTTGTTTGTTGTGTTTATGCTTCTATGCGAAATTGCATTATGCATGCTGATTCAGAATGTTTCACTGCAATCAGTCCACAGCAGGCAGGTCCTAGGGCTTCAACTGTGGCTTAGTGGTTACACTGATAAACACAATGCTCATAAAATAGATATACAGGGTTATTCTTTATTCTTAAAATCTATTTTAATAATATTTCCAAATCCACATTTGTAGTAATGTACAATGAGGCTTAGGATTTGGTTCTTTTTTTTAAGAAACAGCCAGAATAACCTAGTAATTACATAGCAGTGCTTAAAAAATGCTCAGATCACACTATCAAATAGAAAAACTCAAACAGTCTCTCAGAACATGCTATCAACTACATAGCAATGCTTAAAGGGGTCCTATTATGCTCTTTTACAAAGTCTTGATTTTGTTTTGGGGGTGTACTAAAACATGCTCTCATGTTTGGTGGTTCGAAAAACGCATTATTTTTCACATAATTTACATTATTAAAATACCTTTCTCCCCAGCCTGGCACAAACGGCTCGATTAGTTTCGGCTTTGATGAAGGTCCGCCTTCCGAAAAACAAAATGTGTTGTGATTGGTTAGCTGTCCCAGTGCATTGTGATTGGCAGCTTAGACGGCGTTTCAGTACTGC